AGAAAGAGGAACAATCAAATACAGTCACTGAGGGCCGGTTTACTCACCACTAAAACATGTTTTAATCACCGAGGCTATTGCTAGGTAATATTTTTCAATCGCAACTGTCACTGAATAGCGCTTTTCCTTTGTTAATTTGATATACAAGATTTTTTTTATATATCAACTTCACTCACTCTTTCCCTCTGTTACCCATTTAACTTATATTATTACTTTATCTATCCCATTCTAACAAAACAATTTAAACTTTAATCAAATCCATACTAATTACCACAATCGTCGTACTGACAAGGTCCAGCTGTGGTAATGGTAAGAAATGTATACGACGTAATGGACCGAAACATCTCTTACCATTAAAAAAATTTCCGACATTTTATTATTTCTTCTTTTAACATAAAAATATCTTATTCTGTTTATCTTATTTCATAATGTTCGTGTGGCTAGCACCAAAATGACTCGATTTTTTTTTTCTCGGTTGAGATCTGATTGGAATAATGGATTGCGGGAAAACCGTAGCGCCAACAAAGCACGAAATTGAGGCTAAAAAGGCTAAAAATCAAACAAAGCAACCTTTTCATCGTGACGCTGGCCTCGTACCATTTCCGGTGGTAGATAGTCCAGCGTGCCACACATTGTTGTCCGTCTTAAATAGTTGAGATTTTAAAGCTCAAAAATCAATTTGCGCAAAAAATTTCAGCTAACAAATACTTCTACATCCCTCCAAAAATTGATGAACAACGAAAAAGGAACTTGGAATTTGGTGCATGGACACTCCAACCAAAATCGGCTATTTTCAGCTCGCCATAAAAGCCCAGAAGCAAATTTTCGGGCTTAATATCGCGGTGGATAACCCTCTTCTCGTGGCAATACTTCAGCGCATCTGCCATTTGATACATAAGCTAAAATCACATTTTTCAGCGAGAAAAGTGATATTTTTTGCCAAGTGATATTTCTTTTCCATTGAAAAAATCAGTCCCTCTACAATTCGCTGACTTATTTTGGTGAGTGAATGACTTTGTCACATTCCAGAGAATCAAAGCTATCAGCTTGCTTCTAAACAATCCGTAGAAAAAGCAATCACTAAGAGATTCCCAGAATTTGGTTGATGGTGGTACATTTTTTAACTACTTTCCACTGCTTCCATTTCTTGTGAAAGGAAAAACATAGGAGTTTTTAATTTAAATAATACAGTAGGAAACAAAGGGATCAATCTAAATGTCGTGTGCTTGAAAACACTTTTTTTATGCTCTCTGTGTTTCATCCCTTAGTTGTAAACTCTCTTAAAATTGAATATTCAAAAATTGAATATTCAAAAAAAAAAAAAAAAAACTTTTCTGAGCCTCATCCCTTAGCTGTATTCTAAATTAAATTCGAGAATTACTTCAGGAAATTGTATCTCAAACAATTCATTACTAACTCTGCCCCGGATATTTTTTTATTTTAGGAAAGGATTTGATCAAAGTGGTTTTAGATTTAGCAACCTGGCCTAGCAGGAGGTCAGGGCCATCGCTGGTACCTTTTTTCGATGGGAAGTGTTTGGCTTCCATTACTAGTGTTCACACAAGCGGATTCAGGCCGGTCTCCTGTAGGGGAGAGGGAGCGATTTTCCTCCCCAGCCCCTCCCCCTTCGTCACTACACCTCCAATCGGCCACCTTGCTACCTCCACTCGATCGTCTCGCTGCCCCCCTCTTTCCCCCGTCCTTCAGTCGCCAGCATGTTCGACGCTCTGCTACCTCCCCCTCCTCCCGCTAATCGGCCCTAAACTACGGCGACGACTCAGAGGGAGGGAGGGGGGAGGGCTCCTAGAAGGGGGGAGGGGCGAAAGCGCTATTGAACAGAACAGAGTTTTCTACCCAAAAAACTCCACGCCTCCCTCTCGGAAGAGGTAGGGGGAAGGC